TATGTAGACCAGGCTGGCCTTGAACTCACGGAGATCTGCCTGCCTCTGCCTCCTGAGTGCTGGGATTAAAGGCATGTGCCATCACGCCTGGCTCAGTCTTCTCTTTTATTATTATTTATTTATTATTTTTTATTTATTATTATTTTTATGTGTTATGAGTGTTTTGCCTGTATGTATGTAAGTGCGCCTGTGTCATGCAGTGCTCACAGAGGTCAGAAGAGGATGTTGGATCCCCTGGTACTCGAGTTACAGATGGTTGTTAGCCACCATGTGGGTGCTGGGAATCGAACCCAGGTCCTCTGGAAGAGCAGCAGATGCTCTTAACCACTGGGTCATCTCTCCATCCCCTATCCCCAGACTTCTCTGCACTTTTTATTTTGAGACAGGGTCTCATGAGTTTGCCCAGACTGGTCTTGAACTTCACTCTGTAGCCCAGGCTGACCTTGAACTTGTGATCCTACTGCCTCAGTCTCTTGTGTAGCCGGGATGAGGAGGTCTATGCCGTCAGGCCCCACTCATACAATGGCCTGTTAATTGGCTAGGAAAAGGAACGAAGTGGAGTGCTAGTCTTTGCTGAGACAGAGGTGAACCTTGAAAACTGCTATGTGAAAGAGGCGTAGGTCACTACAGGTGAATCCACAGGCAGGACACCAGCCAGGGATGGAGGGAGGGTGGAATCGGGGTAACTGTCGGCTTCTTTAGGGTGAGGAGAATGTTCTTGAACAATAGTGGTTGTTGTACAGTGATTCCCATGGAATTGTGTACTTTTAAAAGAATGTAATATACTGCATGTGAAATCTGTGGTGTGTGTGTGTGTGTGTGTGTGTGTGTGTGTGTGTGTGTGTGGAGACAGGGTCTCATGTAGCTGAGGTTGGCCTTGAAATTGCTTTGTAGGAGAGAATTACCTTGAACTTTCACTGTCTCTGCCTCTGTCCCACATATGGATAAGCAAGTGCAGGACTGCTTGTTTGTGAGTTATATCTGAATTTAAAAAAGACTCAGGGTCCTTGTCTGAACTGGTTGAATCGAGCCCAGTGGGCAGTGAATGGGAGGTTGTGGCCTTAGCCTCTTCACCCCCATGCCAGAGCATAGCTGCCCTGAAGGTGCCCCTGGCTGAGGCTGGGGCACAGCTTCCTGAGAGCAAAGCCTGGGTCTGTGTGGACAGATAGTTGCAGGGCAACAAGGGCCCTAGAAGGGGGCCCTGTGTGAGGGGCTCCAGCCGCCAGCCTTGACCTCAGAGCTGGCTCTCACCTGTGCCTGGGTGCATCTGCCAGTGTCCCCTTCACAACATGGCTAGACCTCCCCGACTTCAACTGAGGCCCTCTGGTCTGAGCTGGTTCTGTGGGTCCATCCTGCAGCAGCCTCTGTCCTTCGCCTCCCTTGGGGCCTGGACAGCTTCCTCCTGGCCTCCGCTGTGCTGACTCACCCCCTCCCTGGCCTTTCTCTCCCCAAAGCCAGTCTCCTTTGGCCCATGCCTGTGCGACTCACCCCTCTCCCATGTCCCTTCTGTGACCCTCCCCCACCCCACCCTTGACACTGTCCCAGGTCCCTGCCCCCCTCTGCACCCTCCTCCACATCTCCACTTGGGACTGAGGGCTCTGAGCCCACCAGAGGGAGACACAACCCCACGTGGTGCCGTGCCATCAACACCTGGGGGGGGGCTCCCACTCATGTTCTCTGTGAAGTGGGAGGGTGGTCACTGTGCTCAGAGGCCAGCACAGAGGCCACTTCACAGTCTAAACAGCCTTTCCCCTCCTCTCCTACCCCCTCCCCATGGAAACCTGAGGCCTCAGCTTTTTTCTTGAGAATGGGGTTGCGGTGAGAATTAATTAGAAACGGAAGCAGCTGCCTAGAGCCAGGAGCATGGTCACGTCCACTGATGCTACAACCATAGGTGCAGTGGACCTCAGATGGACAATGTCCAGGAACTCACTGCCCTGTACAGAATACGTGTGGACTTTTTTCTTGTCATTATTACCTAAATGACACCTTATGATTTACATAGTATTGATAACGTGTCGTTTTTTTCTTCTTTTTTTTCCCCTCAGTGTTGCAGACAGAAGGCAGGCTCTTGGGCATGCTAGGCAATTATTTTTATTTTATGTGTATGAGTATTATCTTCATGTGTGTAAGTGCACCCGTGTTGTGCAGTGTTGCTGGAGGTCAGAAGAGGGCGTCAGATCCCCTGAAACTGGAGTTACGGACAGTTGTTAGCTGTTATGTGGGTGCTGGGAATCGAACCCAGGTCCTCTGCAAGAGCAGTCTGCTCTTAACCGCTGAGCCATCCCTCCAGCCCCCTTAGATTTTTTTGAGACAAG